ACACAAGTCAAGCTTTTTTAAAGACTCACCCTAGTGTGCTCACATAATAACTTAGAAAATTATATCATCAAAGCTCAGGGTTGCCTAAGGACATCTTAGAACACCACTATATTAACATCTTTTACTTAACTTGAAAATACATGCTCCATTACACTGCTGAGTATAAACATTACAATTGCTTGTTTACAAAGGACATTATAGGCTAATCTCATTTATTATTTTGATTCTTTTCCATTAATTGGTCCTTTGTACCAGAATCATTTCCCACAATAAGTATGTTCATTTGTCTTGGATTATTATTTTGTTTTCCAGCAAGTAATCAGATTTCATTCATGTCTGTCACTGGATCTATCTTGGACACTGAATACTGTGTGCATTTACATTAGGTACTCAGCTTTTACATTATTGCCTCTGGTTGGTTTTTATGCCTCCATGTCATGAAATTTCCAAATGAACTGAGATCCAGTGTATCTGGGATGTTTGAATTATAGATGTTCATTATCAGTCTTTAGTTAATACCTAACCACTACATTCCTCAACTGTACCAAGCAATTCTTGATTTTGTCACATTACTTTCTTTCTATTGTACGAGCAAAGTGTGCCCATTGATGGCTGTAGTGTCGGTGATTGTCAGAATTTTTGCATTTGCAATGTTGGCAAGTGCATTGTTGTGGTGTTGGCAAGTGCAGATGTGCGTGTCACTGTGGTATTGTCAAAGGCAGAAATGCAAGGTATTGTAGTGCAGAGAGTGCAAAAGTGCACATTGGTGTTGATAAGGTGAAAAGTTTGCCTTGGGGACTGCAGGGGTGCACACTGCTGTGGAATTGGTGACGGCAAAAGTGCCAGTTGGTACGGCGCTGGCGAGTGCAGAAAAGCATGTCATTGCGGTGTCAACAAATGAAAACGTGTTCATCACTGCAGTATTGGTGAGTGTAAATGGGTGCGCTGGTGTGGTGTCAGTGAGTTAGGAAGTATGCGCTTGTGCAGTATCGGCAAATACTAATGTATGTGTAGCTATTGTGTCAGTGAGTGCAGAAATGCGTGGATGTGTGGTCTTACATGTCCTACGGGATGTGGACAAGGCCTCTTGTCAGGCTGTGAACTGGTCCTAGTGCTGGGTGCTCTCAGTTAACTGCAGTTAACACTCACCTTCTATCTCCGAGCTTGAAAAAGAGGATCTCCTCGAAACGCGTTGCTCACTGTACACGGCCCCGTGCACTCCCCTTCCTAACCGACCGTCACTTCCACTCCACCACATCTAGAACATATACCAAACGAAGACCAGAGGCAGCTTCCACATCAGCCCTTCGGCACACATAGCATCCAATCTGCATCCAATCTGCTCTCTACCTTAGTCCTTGACCCCCGAGCTCACTACTATAACTGATGACACCATTCCCAGCCGCCATGAACAACCCCTAAAGAAAGTCCTATTTCACCCCTACTCTGCCACTTGGAGACCACTGGAAATTGAACAAATTTTATCCAACACTCCTTGCAGCGCCAGAATCACCACTATGCCCGGATCCCTGACACCACAAGTAAGTTCCTCATTTTAAAAAAAACATTTTTTACATATATCCAAAATCACACCGTTTACAATTCCGGATTTGCGCTCTTAGTGTCTCATTATTACTTTCTTGTAGAGAAAGTGTTGGCAGATTACTGCACATTTCCTATGGACCGTGAAAGTGTTCCCTGCTGCCATTGTTATGGAACTCTTTCACCCACACATTCCTGGGCTGAATACCTCAGTTTTGCTGTTATGAGACTGATGCACATTGCTGATGCACAGGAATTGAAAGATGGAGTTGGCTGTACTTCTCACTTCCTGGGTTTTGTTTTAGATTAGGGATGCACAGATACTTTTCGAGTACCAGTGCAGATACTTGGCATTTTCATGATAACTACCAGGGTTGCAGCAGTTGCAGCTGGGACCAGGCTCTGGCACTCCACCACTGTCCTGAAATCATTAGTCTGTATTGTTTTAGAAAAACTGTCACATGACAATAAACAAAAATGTATCAGTACTCGTACTTGTAAGTACTCAGCAAGTACCAGTACTCGTACTCGCAAACCTGGTATCTGTGCATCCCTTTATTTATATTTATAAAAACAAAATCGTACATTAAAACAGAGATGTACAAATCCCAGGAGCTCTGTGTGCTCCTTACAAATGACAGCTGCCTCCTAATTTTTGAATTTTTCTCTAGTCTAGTCTTGGAGCTAAAAAGTATCGGTACATGTACTCATACTTGTACCGAGTACTGTACTTGGTATCTGTGCAACCCTATTTTAGATAATTATAGGATATGACCTTTTTCTGTAAGTCAGCTCTTAACTTACCAATGTTGGTGATGGCAGGTTAAACAGCTAAAAGTAAACCTTTCCATTCCCCAACCACGTACCCCAACATGTTTCTTGATAATCCACTCTATCTAGTATAAAGTGTAAAAGTTATAACTATATTATATGACTTTTGGAAGACAGTTTTTAGCCAGTCGTAAGTGTGGTACTAGGTTTATTTCCGACAAGAATTCATTCAGTTTTCATTTTGCAACTATAATTAGGTCTGCTCCAGACCCCTAGATTCTCGGAAAATTGGTTAATGTGCACTAACTAAAGTCGAAGCTAGCCCCTGCCTCAAACAATGCATAGAGGAATTTAACAGTATTAACAACATTGTATATTAGATGATTTTATGTGCATTTAACACATGTTTTTATGGATGCTGCTTATCCGTGAAAGCCTTCCTTGTATAGACATCCAAAAGCCCAGAGACTGCTACTAGGCACCACTGTGTTAGATGTGATGTCAGCAGCCCCATTGAGCTGTCACTCAACTGACACTCTACATTACTTTCTTCACTCTGCAAATATAACAGGCTATGTACGGAGATGGAGGAGCTGGCCAAGCACAAAGGGTAATTGGACATTCCCAGAAGAGCAGAGGGCTATGACATGAAAGGAGGGAGGGGCCGTGCTAGGGAACTGACTCTTCCTGGCGTAGTCACATTTTTCTGACAAGTTCAAAGAAACATTACAAGTTAATTAAAAAAAACTATTTTTAGAAACACTGCAACTAAGCATTACAAAAACCTGATATTATTTTATGACTGAACGACTGAAAGGATTTGTGGACCATCTTCACACTGTTGCTTTTCAATGCTGTTTTGCCAGTATTTTGTATATATAAGAACTGAACAGTCAGATGTGCCCTTTATGATTACCCTACACTTTGTAAATCGTGTACTTCCCTACGCTAATAAAACTACAAAGAAGATATTTGTAAATGTTAATATAAGATGTAAACAGTAACCCCTGTGATCAAAGTCAGGAAATACAAGTCATCTTGTAACAATCATTGTTATGACATTCTGCATTTGAAAATTGAAGGAAATCAAACCTGTTTATCTATTTGGGATAATTAAATTATATTGTCATGTTCTCTTTCAGATGCGTAAGCCATAAGACAAAATTTGAATTAGATGTAATTAACCATAACACTAACCCTGGTACCTAATTTACAGGACTCCACCCACATGGTTTTCTTTACTTTCGGAAATAATAGTTTCAGATGAAACCTTCCGCTGGGTCTTTATTGATGTCTTTCACCCTAGTAAGAAGACTTTCCCCATTTCTGCCTCTGGTGTGACAGCCAGGGATCGGCTGTGTGGGTGGAACTACCCTGTTCACTTCTGTAGAATGTATATGCTACATATTCGTATGAAGAACCCTCAAATAGCACCAAAATGCTGATTCTGATTGCAAGTAAAAGTCTGCTCTAATCTTCTATACTATTTAGCAGCTAGCATAAATGTAACGATATACAGTCCAAGAGATATACAGTATTGAAAAATGCAGCACTTGAAATGCCACTAATATCCTCTGCTTTAAAATGTAAACATGAATCCTCATCAGATCCAATCTATGAAGACAAACAGGGCACTCACCAGATCCACTGACCTCACAGATCATGTTAATCCCGCCAGTGTCTCCCATGGATAATGATGGATTCACGCTCAGCAGTAGCTCCAAATTGTTTCCAAAGCCCTGTACCCACTACAGATGAGGGCAATTGATTTAGGATCGCTCTCTCCTCCAACACTTTGGATTAGGAACTTCCTCCCCACAGTTTGTCACAATCCAGCTGGGTGTCCATCACTGCTGCTTCTTCTTTCTCTGTCAAGTCACAGGCAGAGGTCTGTCCAGGACAGTCTGGACTTACAGGAAGTGAGTTGATTGATGCTGGCCATCAGATTGAGGATATTTTGTGATAAAGTACTACAGTAAAAGACTCTGGATTAAAAGTAAATAATGCAACAAAAGCCACTTTTTTGTTTTATGATTTACCTGGCTATTCATTTTTATCTTATTTTTGGCTGGACTTCTGCTTTAAGTAATACTATTATAATACAATCAATTTACATATAACTAAGTTCATTGGTTAAAGCCATTCCATTAGTTTTCACTGATATGAAGCCACAATGGGAATACTGTATGTTTGTTGCTGCTCTGAGTAAGACTGTTTTGGGGACCAAACAAGTTAGATACATAACTGGTTATTATACCAACGAAAGTTCTAATAATATGATCATGTTAGCATTTATTTATGGACCATAAATGTATTTATTGGACATAGATTTATTCGCATTCTCTGATAGGCACTGTGTGATTCATTAATTGAAATCAATTTTAACTTGTATTTATTTGTATGTTTAAAATAAACTTTGATAATTTTATATATATTTATATATGCATGGTCTATTATACCTCTCCGGAAACCCTATTCTTTATCAATGTTCTTACTCTACGTACTCTAGGGGGAGGGGTGAAAGCAGGGTGCCTATAGTGAGGCAACCCACTGACTGTATCTTGAATTTACATATAGCTAAGTTCATTGGTTAAAGCCATTCCATTAGTTTTCACTGATATGAAGCCACAATGGGAAATACTTTATGTTTGTTGCTGCTCTGAGTAAGACTGTTTTTTTTCTAATAGGTGTTAAAGCCAGCTCAGATCAAGTCAATATGTCATGGAATCTTGGAATCTGGTAAACAGTATTCAAGGAAAAAAAGGAAGCCCATTCCACTGATGTACTCATACTATGGAACAGAATACTTGGGTAAGAAAAAAAATACAGCATTCTCTATTTGTCTCTCTCTTGCACTCTCTCTGGATGAATACTTTCATGTAAAGCAGGGATCTCAAAACATCGGCCCTCCAGCTGTGGTGGAACTACAAATTCCATGAGGCATTGCAAGATTCTCACAGCCACAGACATGACTCCCGAAGAGAGATGCATCATGGGATTTGTAGTTTCAACACAGCTGGAGGGCCGGAGGTTTGAGACCCCTGATGTAAAGGGTAATGATTTCACGCGTTAAAGCCTGCATCAGAAACATAGGCCTACATGCTAACCCATCCTTTATGTGTGTTTTAGTGGCACAAAGTAGCACACAATCCAATTTAAGACAGTAATTTTGAATGTGTGACTCTGTATGTATTGAAAAATGTTTTCTTACATATTAAAACAAACAGTGTGCGTTGTCTGGCTGATTCAAATAAACAAATCCTCTCAAACAATGGTCTCCATACTGCAGCCTGCAGCCCTTTGCTTGCATGTAACTGGCACTTAGGGCACTATTACCACTGCCACCAACAACTATACACAATTCCTCCTTTTGACACCAACAATGGGGCACTATTTCTCCCTCTGACACAAACGATGGGGCACTATTCCTTCCACTGATACCAATGATGGGGCCCTATTCCTCCCACTGATACCTGTGATGGGGCACTATTCCTCCCACTGATACCAATGATGTGGCACTATTCCTTCCACTGATATCGATGATGGGGCACTATTTCTTTCCCAGCTGTCAGACACGCAGCTGGGCGGATCCCAGCATAATTGTCGGGATCCGCTTCAGCTGCGGCGTCTCAGTATACCGCGAGCAGCAGCTTGCGGTATACTGCGGCGTCTCAGTATACCGCGAGCTACAGCGCGCGGTATACTGAGCCTAGGGTGACGAGTAGGACGCTAGTTTGTGTCCTCCCGTTACCCTAAGGAGAACTATGGGGAAAAGACTTAACCCCATAGTACTCCTTTAACAAAAATTATAGGCCGTCTTTAAGGGCTGTGGTAGTGTGTGTGTGTGTGTAGGGGAGCAATTGGAGTATTGAATAGCGTGAGGTAGCGCTATACGTGCCCTGTGAACTTTTAACCATGCCCAACTTTTCCCAGGTGGCATCTATTTGTAAGTAATTTGCAGAGCCATTTGCCCTGCGAATATCTATGAACATTTTTTCTATGTCAATAGAGACAAAAACAAATGTTCTTGGTATATTTTCTTTTTAGGTCAAAAGTAATGTAATGTAATACCACGTTAACGCATCATTACATTACATTTGACCTGAGAAGAAAATATACTGAGAACATTTGCAGGACACATGGCTCTGTGCATTGTTTAGAAATGGACCCTTGTTTCTTGGCACAAAGTCTGCAGTTGCTAAATGATTTATTGTTTTTTTTATTTTCTATTTGCATAGTATTTTGTTAGTAATGAAAGCAGTACAAAAAAATGGAATATATAAATTGTGGATTTGAACACATTGATTTTTGTTATTGCAGGAGCAGCACACGGTCTGTCTTCTATACTACAAATGCTATTGTCCTATCAGGACTACCTCCAGCCAGCTGACCGAGACCTTGTTTGGCAAAGTGTGGACTTTCTTGTGAATCAGGAACAAAACTGCAACTGGCCACCAGAGTTGGGGGAAGTCATAGAACGTGAAAATGAACTTGTTCACTGGTGTCATGGAGCCCCTGGTCAGCTACTGATTTTTTACTATTTATTATACAATATTTCTTACCATAAGACTGATCTCTTTTTAAAGTGGAACTATGGGCAAAATGAAAAATCATATATATGATGCAGCCTGTCACCAACATTAGCACAGCACTTTCTGTTTTTCTGAGTGCCTACTATAACATAATTTTATTACCTGTTGGTTCCACCAGTAGAATATTTAAAAGTAAAGAATTTATTTTAAAAATTCCACAAATTCACACTGTTCACTGATATTCAGTGCAGCTTGGAAGTATCATGAAAATTATAATAAAAAGTAAAAAAAAGAGAATCTTTTGGTCTACATTAGAGGGTCAATCTACCCAAAACTTTATATTTAGTTTTTTGGTAGATGCTTTTTAGAGAGTTTCTGCTCCCCTTAAAAACTTTAGGCAACAGCTTTGTTTTAACTAGAGGTATATTTTATTTTTGCCTGGAGTGTAAACGTTGTCTGAGTAGTCTACAGCCTTTACAGCCATGGATGAATGAGTTCATCTCATTATCTTTTCTTACAGCATATTATGTCAATTAAGCTCTCTCAAGGCTGTACATTATAACAATTAGTTCTGTAGCTCAGTCTCCCAATACATCTGCTCTTCCAGTATGAAGACAACAGTTGCTTGGTGGTATAACTGAGAAATATTCTTTCACAGTTACATTGTGCATGCAAAAAAGCATTGCTGGCTAATGAGTAATAAAGCTTTCAAAAAGCTTTTATGGATGACTTATTTTGTGGTTTTAGATACATAGATGGACCATGAATTGTCAAACAGCATGAATTGTCTATGCTCTGATGTTCAGCATGTATAGCAGATCTGTCCTTTGTTTTGCCACTTAAGCACATGCTACTCGGTAATTTATATTCTTTATTTCTTCCATTTCTTCTTTATTCAAGTTGGGCAGGTAACAAAATAAAATACTACTCAAACATTATTTTTATTTTTAGGAGCAGTAGAGAAACCTTTGCAATTCCACCTCCTTTTCCCAGGGTTGCAACCTAGCTGCCATTTTATTAGCACGGCTTGTATTAATGGGACTTATTACTAATGTTATTTATAAGAAAGACATTATAATACCAGATAAGATGGCACTTTGACCTCATCCAAACCAAGTTCCGTTAACTACTGGCTTCTTAGATACTGAAAAATCCAGGGTTGATCTTCTTTTCAGATCTTGGCTCTTTCCCTCTTCTGTTGTTCATGCATGGGCTTTAATTTTGATACATCTTGTTGTAAGCCAAGAAAGGAGTCACCTGACATCTACTGGATTCTTCTCAGGAACAAACAGAAATACACTCTGAGCTAATGTATATCACTTTTCTACATATAACTGGGTTAGGTCATGCCCTCACAGAATGGAATGGTGACAAAGTTACAAGGCTTTGTGGAAACTCACAGGCTATTGCAGGCTCTTGTGGGCATTCCCACAACCTTTGCTTAAAGTGACATTAAACCCTCAGATTTTTTAACATAAACCAATACTGTAATGTGCGCCTTACTGTAATCCATGGTTGTTTCCCTTCTCTTTGCTGCTTTTCATTTTAAATTCTCATGTCTTCTCATGCTTGGGGAGAACTTCCCTTTTCAGCTCAGGGCCTCTTCCTGTAGTGCTGGCTCAGGTTACAAGCCTATACACAGACACCATGTATCCATTCCAGAGACAAGGCAGTCTGCTGCAAAACAGAAGTTCTGCCCAGCATGAGAACAGATACAAATTTAAAAGGAAGAACAGCAAAGAGAAGGGAAACAACCATGGATTACAGTAAGGCGCACATTACAGTATTGTTTTATGTTAAAAAATCTGAGGGTTTAATGTCACTTTAAACAATTGTTGCACTATGGTAATTGATTTTTTTTTTTCATGATAAAGCCAAATTATAAAGTTGTATGGAGTATGTAGGTGTCTTGAATTTTGTGTAGTCGTACATTTTAAGTTGTTTCTAGACTACAGAGTATATAATTTTTTAATGCAATTCATGCTTTTTTTTAGGTATTGCTTATCTTTTTGCAAAAGCATATTTACTCTCAAAAAATCCATGCTACCTGGACAATTGCATTCGCTGTGGAGAGCTGACCTGGCAGAAAGGCCTTCTGAAGAAAGGACCTGGTATCTGCCATGGAGTGGCAGGCAGTGCCTATGTGTTTTTATTGCTTTATAGGCTTACTGGCAACTCCAAGTATATCTACAGAGCACAGAGGTTAGTGTCATCAATCTACTCTATATATTCAATTTCTAATAGGTGGACTCTTAATGCTAGTAATGCACAGAGAATCTATTAAAGAATACAATTTTTTTTTTAAATACCATGGGGCCCCATCAGTAATGTAAATCCATTCCAATACCAAGCTAAATAATCGTTCAATATTTTACAAACTAGACCAGCCTAGAAACATATCTGTCTACAAGGACAAGCAGAAAGTTGTAATCCTATAAATATTTTGGGAGTGATTCCTTAGTAGCCTTGACAATAAATAGTAGTGCTGCACACACATATTGTTCATGGTTCTCATACAATTCTAAGACTCATAAGTGGCTGAAGGCTCTTAAATACTCATTACCCTTTTATTTTTAGTCCCGAGGTATTTTGTAAATTTTGTATTTGAATGGATTTATTATGATTAAAAGTTATATACTATGTACATGTTGTGTTTTCCCCAGATCTCACCCCTATATATACTCCTAAATTAGGGTCCTCAGCCACCCTCTGTCCAGAGATTGTCATCTTTTATTGTACAGATAGCTCTAGATTCCCCACAAAAATGTATAGGTATCAAGTGTGCACTTACAGTGCAACTGCATCGCACCACGCTGTGCCCATTGAACTTAATGAAGTGTGATATTTCATAAAATTGCCCCTAGACATAAACGAGCAGTTAACCCTTGCAGTGTGGGGGTGGCTCCACTGCAGCAATAGTTTACCATGGAGATAGGCTTTTAATGTTTTGTCCCTGTCTAAACTGGTTGTGAACAAAAGACACAGTGGCACTATTTGGAGAGGTATGTGCATTATAAGGAAAGGAGGAAATTGAGAGGTATGTGCATTGTGAATCTGGGGGTAGGGAAAAATTTTGTAAGCCACATTTCAGGGAAACATAAATACATTTTAGTTAAATCATTAAAGTGTATCTCTAGCCAAAACATATTTTTTTTTATCATTTTGGATAAAGTAATAAAGTTTAGAACTGTAAAATTGCACTCACTATTATTCCTGATAACTATTGTCACCTGTACAAATGTGTTGGGAAATCCAAAATTTCACAGTTTTCACTGTTGTTTCTTTCATATTCTGACAGCGGCCGCTGGCTCATTGGCTGCCGGCTCTGTTCGTATGAAGATTCTCTAAACGACTTCTTCGACAATCTGATCAAGGGATGCTGGCCGGAAGGGTCCCGACAGCATCACCCACTATGCGGATTTCGGCCATCTCCACAAGAATCGACCGAATTTCGCACAGTGTATGGCCACCTTTAAGCTGGCCATACACCTATAGATTATCTGCAGATTTTCTATGGTTAGATGGAAAAAGTGCAACAGATTTTTCCATCTACGCTAAACTGTGTGGATGGAGAAATCTCCCACCGGGCCAAGCTTCAGTATCTTGCTAGTCGGCCCCACTGGCTGTCAAAATACCTGAACAATCTGATTGGATGCAGAAATTGTACAGGTATTTTGAGAGCCAGCAGGGCCGACTAGCAAGATACTGAAGCTTGGCCCGGTGGGAGATTTCTCCATCCACACAGTTTAGCGTAGATGGAAAAATCTGTTGCACTTTTTCCATCTGACCATAGAAAATCTGCAGGTAATCTATAGGTGTATGGCCACCTTTAGAATGAATCTCCCCTTACTTTGGATACATTTCCTTCTAATTTCCATTTTGTCACTGGGACAGAAAGTGAAGAAGTTTTTAATAACGAGAACAGACGGTAAAAAAAAAACAACTGAATAGGATATTTTTAAAATTACCTACTCTAATCAAAACTAAAAAAAAAAGAAACAAGTTGTGGCTTTAGATATACGTTAACTGATACTAAAACACTGTGAATAAGACCTGAATTTGAGCACCACAGACCCAGTCCTAAGGAGATTTGCTCATGATTATACATGGCCAAGTTCATATTTAGGTGACTGAGCTGAACTTCTAAATGTCAGACAAAAGAGCAGTATTGAGATGACTGCTTATGCAACCAGATACTAGTATCACATAATCACATGTACTTTTTAAGCAATATCCAAGTAGATAATTGGTTGTATGACTCTTCTGATGTCCATGCATGGTCAACTGCAGGCCAGATTTCTGGCTCTGCCCAGCTGTCAGAAGCAGGCTGTCGGCCAGCTTCGGCTTTCAGCGCAGCTCAGCCAAGCCGAGGCATATGCGTTCGGCTCGACTGAGCCGCTCGGCCACGTTCGGGAGCTGTACGGGCTATAGTGAATAGCCCGTGAAGCACCCCTTCGGTTCTACTGAACCGAAGGGGTCATGGGGCCAAAGCTAGCCGAAGGATCGGCTAGCTTCGGCCCTGCTGGTCGTGTGCTCCCATGTTAGCTTCCATATTAACCAACCTATTGTACCACAAGCAGGTACCACATCCCTGATAAAGTGCAACCTCCAAGCAAAAACCTGTAGGGCAATGGGACTTCTGTTTCCTATCTGTACCCTTTGTTTGAAATATGGAAAAAAATGTAAGGTTTTATTGGAAACCATTAAACTCCTTGTGACAGTTATTAAGTGTGTTATTTTAATATATTGTATGTTTATGTATATTTTATATGTGTTTATTGTAATTACAATATTCTCTATTATGCATCTTCAAACTTTTAGATCTCCATATGTTCGCCTCTCTTTAGGTTTGCAGAGTTTCTCTCCACGGATGAATTCAGAGCTGGATCATGTACTGTGGAAAGCATCTACAGTCTATATGAAGGCTTGTCAGGAACAGTCTGTTTTTTAGTTGATTTACTGCAGCCTAAGCAGGCTGAGTTTCCACTTTTTCATGTGTTTGTGTAGAGTTATCATTTGCTGTAATCAACCAGACAGGAGGATTTTTCAGGCTCTTCAGATATAAGCATTAAAGATAAGGGACAGTGTTTTGGTGCTTGGAAGGTGTAAACTGATGTCAAAGAAGAAGAGCTGGACAATGGCCATGGTCTTACCGTTGGGGGAAAAAAAAATATAGTAGTATAAATAGATGTAACATCTATGCATCATTGGCAATGGAGCTGGACTCTTACAATCATTATAACCAAATCAAAATGTACACAGAAAACAGGTAATCCGGGCTATATAATGATAGCAGTGGGTTTGAAGTAGACAGCAATGGAGTGGTTCATAAAATGTATGAACAAAGCAAGAAGCGACTGGCTACACCAGCTGCAAAGGTCCTTGTTAAACCTCTCATTACTGTTTTCTGACATAGAAGCAAATGTCTAATAGATTCATGTATTTATCATGGTTATTTTGCCCAGCAGTAAATGTTTTATACGTAAGACGTCTGACGTATGACGTCTAGTAATCTCTAAACCTGTCAGTGCAAATGGTAGAAAGTAAATTTAAGTGCATTATTGCCACTTACAACATTACTTGTTCTTTTAAGCATTAGGTTCATGTTTGTATACATTTCCCTTCAATGCACAAAAAGACAGGATTTACATTTTAATCTTTTTTTGGCAAATATAATGTCCTAAGACATGACAATCTTACTCTTTTATACTTGTAGAGGCTTATCTATTCTTAGTTATATCCTCTGGGAAATGTCCTACCTGTGATTGTTGCCAATGGGACCTCTGTAGACAAATGTGTGGGCAGCTCATCTCAGAATAAATTTGGCCTTAAACTACTTGACAAAAGGAGATCCTGAGATATAGGTATTCATACTCATACCTTATCCTGGTCCTCTGTCCCCCTCTTATGTAAGAGGATGATTCATTGGCCCATTGAAAGATCCAGGAAGTGGGAGAGGTGAGGACAGGCTAAAACTTACATCATGAGTGAAGAATTGCATATTATTTCAGTTATCTGTATTTACTGACTGTTTTGGCATGTGGACTTTACTGAAGGTAACCCCTACATATATATTTTTTCATCAAATGCTCAGAATTTCCTAGGTGGCAGATTTACTTAAACCTCAATCTTTTTGTAACAAGTGTGAAAGTAGTGATGGTACTATAGACTTTTTATCTATAAATTATAGAATGATTAGAGTTACAGCAATTTAATGTTGACATGGTACAAAATTGCTATCTTGGTATAGAACAAAACTTACTAGGGTACATTAAATCAGTACAATAGCTATGCTCATACATTTGCCATCATTTTAAAGTCATAGAAATTTCCACAAGCACAAGGCAGTCAGAATGAGTAATAGTTTCTGGAATAGTTACTGGAAATTGACAACTTAGATAGATAAGAGTTCAAAACAAAATTAAGGTACAGCATTGTCTATCTCCTCCACATATGTCTGATATATTTCAGAATAGCCAAATGGTTGTAAACAAGTACTTAATTTCATAGTTTTTAATGGCAAGGCTAGTTTGTCTCCCAAGTTTCTGTTTCTAAATCAGAAGAGTGTTAATATGCAAAGCAGTTGTTCACCTCCTTTTGACACTGAGGTGTTCTGTGTGTGTTGGGGCTGCAGCATATTGTATATTACTCCGTTCAAGGTTAGGCGAGTAAACATTCTAGCAAACATTTTCGCAACACTGCAGTTAGTGTGATTGTGGCTTGGAATTTTTAATTTTTTAAACCAATGCTTTGCCCATGAAGCCCAGTTGCCTATACATACTTTCCTGTCACTCCTTTACACCCCCTACTGGTGCTTGGTCAATCACCAAGTATTAGTACTGTCACATGGGAGGGAGTAACATGCTCCCTATATCTGGAAGTACCTAGTATTTTTCTTTACCCTTGGTAGATGAACAGAGCCAACGACCAGCAGGACCTTAAGAAGTGTAAATGAGTGCTTTTGGTGACAAGATCATGGCAGTGTGTGGTGTCAGTGCAGGACTAGTAGCTTTCATTACATTTAGCTCCAGCATCTTATATGGCAAATTCAGAATTTTATGGGTTTATTTCACTTAGGTTAGGGGTTGGATGCCTTTTTTTAATGCAATATACAAAGTGACTGAGAAGCACTAGAACTAGAAAGTTTTAAAGTAGCAAGTACCTTTACTTGACTGTGAATGCTTAGCCATTTGGCCACACACTAAGCCCTCGTTCACACCTGAACGTTTTGTAGCGCGTTCTACGCTCGACGAACGCTCTACAAAACGCTCAAAAATATAAATCCCATTGTATTCAATGGTCTCGTTCCCAACTTGGCGTATTTCCGCCCGTCCCTAATGCGCTACAAAACGGCCCACGCCTGAAAAGGTACATGTACTACTTTGGGCCGTTTTGTTGCGCGTTTCCATTGGGATACAGCCAAGTAGCCTTGGCAAATGCGCGGCGGTCACGCAACTTTTTTACTGCGACGGTCGCGCATATGCAATACGCCTAGGTGTGAACGAGACCTAATGTGTAGCCTTCTGCTTAGGCTAGGGCTACACAGGATATTTTTAACTTTGGCGACTGAAAATGTTTCAAGTGCATAATTGCTATTTAGACTAGTGCTGACTGTCAATAAGACATTAAAAATCTAGGTAGCAGAGAAATGTAAGCTATGTCTAGAATGGCGATTGAATCTCTTTGCTACTGAGAGATTTAACTACTCATTGGTAGTGTTCTCATCAGCAGAACATTGATTTTGTTGTACTGCAAATTAGATCACTGTCAACATGGGGTTAAATCTCTCAGTTGCAAACACTCGCTTCAGTTTAGCTATTGCAATGAATTGATGTCCATATGGCATAATCCATTTTTATTTGCATCACACCTAATTTATTAATAAATAAGTAAAGCGAGACGAGTAATTGTTACTCACAGGAACCATACTGGAAGACTTTAACTGGATTCTTCTGCTGCTATGGCCACTACTGACACTTTTCATTCCTACTATTCCAAGGAAGGAAAACACATTCAGATACTGTATTTTGCATCATATATTCAGAATTTCACTATATTGTACACCACACTTTTTTTTTCTTTTTTACTTCTACTGCTCCAAGCTTGCTCCAGTGATGGACTACAATCTCAATACAAACTAGTATTGAGATAGGATTAACCGATTAATCGAACTTAATAATCGGCTAACTAATCGATTTTGAAAATAATCGTTAGCTGCAGCTCTACTTAACCCATCACAGTATCAAAGACTAACATTACATGGCCTTAATAATTCAGATTGCTAATGAACCAAGTTTCCACGAATGGTATTCATTTTCTTATAAAACTTTCAGTGATTTAGTTATCACTAAAACAGTGACATCTTTGTAAGGTTAACTACTGCAGTAATGAGAATCAAGCATTGGAGAGTGCCCAGTGGCTTGACCTATGCTAAGGCATAAGTCATGTGATCTCTGCTGGAGAATATTAAAGAACCAATCTCAGGAGACTGTTCCAGCAGAGATACTGCATGGGCTGTTCTTTCCAAACACATTCCTTATATTGAGCCTCTAAGATCTTATGTATCAGCAGAAATCATGTGACCAAAGTCTTGGCATAGGTCACATGCAGAGACAGTGGTTGATTTTTATTATTATTAGTATTATTATTAATATTATTATTGTTATTGCAAAATTAGTTTTACAGCTGTCTTATTAACTTGTATTTATCAATTGTATTGTAATACTGAATTAATCTTTTAGTATAGGTCTGCTTAGAGACACAACTTCAATTTTTTATGTTTTATTTTATGTATGGAAATATGAAAACCTACGCAAACAGTGTTTGTTGTAAACCTGTATATCTATAGAGTAGAGTAGCCTTAATGTTATACCAGCAATTGCATTGTCTCAGTAAATACATTCATTGCTAATTAAATTGTTTTGTATATATTGTTTTATTTTTCTATATTTGGCAGATTACGTTGCTAACAGGGTTTTTATGCAGTTTTGTGTTGCACATCATCTCTTCATTTATGTGCACTACAAATATTTGTTCAAATAATAAAGATTTTGTACAATGTTGCCTTACTGTCTTATTACCGATCCATTCCCCTTTCCTAATTTATTTCCCCTATTCTTCCTTCTAGTTGTTCTCTTTCTACAATTTTTTCTTCAGAACATTACAGTCAGTCAACTCAACCCTGATATTAAAGAACACTTAAACCCTAAATGAATAACACTTGTTTAGTTAAAATCATGTGTATCAGAAACAGTTGTCATTTTTTAAAATAAAATACTTTTTAAATGATCTCCTCCAGCCACTTTGCCGCCACTTCCCGTCTAAATGAATTTACTCCAGCAACTACAATGTTTTATTTCTCAGAGTATGTCTCTTGCTCCCAACCAGAGTGGAACATATTTGTGCAAATGCTTTTTGGTTCCACTAGGAGAGTGTGTGACATGGTGACAACGCAGGAGAACAGTTCGGAGACAAGGACAGATTGTTGTTACCCTATAACAGGAAATGCCTGCACAAGGATCTTCATAAGATTGTCAGGTATTATTTTAATGAAAACTGAAGATTTAAAGAAGAAAACATGACTTTTGAAATTACATTAACATGATAAAGCTCATATGAGATTTTAGTGATTGAGTTCACATATACTTTGAAACACCCACTGGAAGGTCTCATAAATTGTGCTTCCAAAGGTAGTCATACACAGCTCAAATTTTGGCGAATTTCTGGTGATAAGGCAGAAATTCGAGCCATGGGTGACCCTGTTGGCAGCATTCTGTTCGATAAAAATCAGTTTAAATACTGACTGAGCTAGGTGGAAAATTCTCAGCCGAACAGTGACTGCATCTTATCAGATGTAGCCAATGTTCAAGTACAGTAATACCTCGGTTCACGAACAATTTGGTTCGTGAACAGAAAGTTTGGCAAAATGTTGCTTCCGTTCGCGTACTCCACATTGGGTGACGAACTCGACCGCGGCCATCTTCCCTGCTCTGACACATGGTCTTGGCTTCCCCCTCTTGCCCCTGAACGCAGGGAGTTTGCCGGCTTCCATTCTAGTGTGTTCTAGAGGCGCC